ATATTGATTCTTGAGTACATCTTTTTAATATTCTGTTAACAAATGGGATATACATATAAAGATATCTGTCTACTAAAGTATGATTTTAAAAAGTTCTATAATTTAATTATGAGCAGAATCCTTCCAACCCCATTTTCAATGACTCTCATTCAGGCCAGGGATTTAGCTCAGTGGTTCCGCCACCTGCCTCACAAGCGCAGGGACCTGAGTTCGATCCCTGGTACCAAAATAAACAAACAAACAAACAAACCAACCAACCAACCAGAAAGACTGTCATTCAACATAAGTGTTTGATACCCACTTTAAAAAATGAAATGAATTAAACTTACATTTCAAAGAAAATGACTGACAGAATTTGTTGCCAATTAGAAAATTTGAGATTAAAAGCTTAAATTAAAACTTAGAAGTGAAAAATTTGAATTTTGAAAACTTCTGTTTACTGTGCCAGTCTGACAGCTTCTCAGTACTAAGAAATTTACTGATAAGGTCAGTGGGGAATATTGCACTATATGGTTATTCTGATGCTGTTTAAAGAGATGTGTCTGGAAGAGGAACAGGACTCAGCAAAGAGTTTTTTCAAAGAATCAGTGGTGATACAGATTCAGCATAGGCAAAAGATAAATAAGTGCAACAGTGATCAGTGATTTTAAAGCAACAGACTTCACCACTGATATATGTGATTCCCTATGTAACTATTTAAGAAGTTCCATTTGTCAAATTTGGTGTAACATCTAAGAAGAAAACCCACAATGCTCTGACAAGGCTATTAAAACACATCTCCTCCTTTCAACAGTGTATCTGTACAAGGTTGTTCTTGTAAGCCCAGAAAGAAGAATGAAATGAACAGAAGGAAAAAAAAACTGGGTAGTATTAGTTATAGTGATAATGAAAATGCTGTTTTCTGTATAAAGAGAAAATTTAAAGCTTCTAAGAAGCAGGAGGGGAACACAAATTAAGAAAAAAACATGCTCTAAATATGTGGCAAACTAAAATGTGGAATGACTTCAGATATTGTTTGAAAAATTTTACCTGAACATTAGGAACTTTTCAAAAATAGCTATGGTGTTTTTTAATTAAACCTTTGTGAAGAAAATATAATCTTTGAATAATGCTTGACTATGTAAGTGAAACATTTTAACATAGCTTTAATAAATTAATTGTACTTATTAATTTTAAATGCTTAGAATAAACACATAGACTTAAATACAGGAGAAAATGTATTTGTATGAATAGATAAAGAAAAGATGATGTTAGGCAGTAGATGAGAAAAGTATTGGAAAGCATAGAGAATAGATAACTTGATATAGGGGGAATCAAGAGATACTGTCTGTATAACAAGATCAGAGGATTAAATACTTAATTCTATGGAGCCAGCCAGATTTACTAAGTAAATGTAAAAAGCAAAATTGGGTTTACAAAGGGAAAACTATCTTCATCTTTTATAATGAGTTACCTATAATGTTTTAAATAAATCAAGAAATAACAATATGTATATATTTTAATTAAGAAGCTATCCAGAAATATAATCTAATATAGACAGATATAAGAGGATGCATTTAGGAAGTGGAGCAGATATTTGGGTGCAGTGATTTGTTGACTATTAGTTTCATTAAAAAGAGGGATAAAATATATCATGATAAGTTTATATGAATCATTTTTTGGACATAGTATTCCATGATATGGAGATATATATATATATATATATCATAACTTACTTGATGAGCTTTTAGGTTATTTCCAGTGCTCTCTCTTTATTTTTATTTTTTTGCTAAAATAAACAATATTTTAATGAGTATTCTTGCCCAAGGGCAAAGTACTAGAAAATAGAATTGAATGAAGGAAAATGTGTGTTTAAATTTTTAGTGAGTGTTGCCTAGTTCTTTATAGGCAATTTTCCCAACTTTTATTAGTGTATAGGTGAGTTGATTTCTCTGTATCAACTCTGGTACTTGACATTATGGATCATTTAATCTTTGCTAAGATTTCTCATTTAAAATTTTGTTTTTTCATATTATTGGGGAGCAACAAATATTTTAGCAGTCATTACTGTCTTTTACCCTAATTTTATGTTTATTAGTGTGGCTTGTATTGGCTATCATCTTTTCTTCTTCCTTCAGAATATTCATGGAATGCTAATAGAAACCTTTGAAGTGTTGTGTTACAGTTGAACTCTGCTGTTGCTTGGCAAAAGTTTAAAATTGTAGTTGGGTTAATCTTTATGTTTTCTGCTTTTTTTGGGTACTGTGCTTTAAAAAATCCTTCTTTGTTCTAATATTGTAATATTTTTCTCTTTTGTTTACATTATCAGTGGCAATGTATTTCTAATTCTTTGTATACTTTTTAAAATTGTAAACTGTTAAAGTCATAATGAATAAAATTTCTGTCATTGCAATTTTAGATGTTTGCATAGATCAAGCAAAACTAGAAGAGTCTGAAGAAAAAGCATCAGAACTTCATAAGAAAGTAAGTAACTTGGACTAACTTAGCAAGACTGTGTGGGAAACCACCACAGACATGATTGGGCTCAGAGACGGACTTGTTGCTTACTTTAGTCATGTGCGCAAATGCCCTTCTCCAAGGGAACTTGTAGACCATTGTATGATTTAAAAGTCTTAATTCTCCCTCTCACTTTTCTCATATTTTTCTCCTATTTATTATCATCTGATATGTTACATAATTTGTGTAATTTGTATATGTATATATGAGGATATTAGGTATCTCTCGCTCTAGAGTAAACTTATTTTTTTGTTTTATATCTATGCACCAGGAACAATTCCTCACTTTGTGTAAGAACCATAAAACATTGTTTTTCAATGTGTGAGTGATTAATTGAACAAAATATATATAATCAAAATTAAGACTAGAGTAATTCTCAAGAAATCGTAATTTACAACCATAAAATTGAAATTGTATGTAAAATTTTGAGAAAGATTAATTTGCCTTTTATTTTGATTATAGTTACTTCATTATTTTTTTATCAAACTATATAAAGTTGCCTTCATAGGTCAAACATTATCAGATATTACTAGCTTCTTTGTTTCAACCTAGTAATATTTCTGACTATACAACCATTCCTTACTTTTCTTTAAAGTAATGTTTTGATCATTTATCTGTAGTTTAGCATGCACATATTAGATGTTTTTGTTGGTGGAAGTTTTCACATTTCAGTGAAATGTCATTCTGATTGGAATTTTTAAGCCTGGCTTCTCATATTGGTGGAATAATAATAATCACCACCACTGTTACTATTGCCAACACAACCAACTGACAATGAATATTCACGAAGTGAATTTTTACTCTGTGTTAGGCACCATCCCAAGGACTGTACATTGTGCATGTTGTAGCTCCTAAATGTATCTTGAGAGAACTGTCCTTTTATTAAAATTTTATTTTATTGATACATTTTGGGTATACAATATAATGACATTCATCATTGGAAATTTGGATCTTTACATAATCTGTCTTGGTTCTTATTTTTCCGCCTTCCGCTGCCCTCCCTTCAATCCTTCCATCCCTCCCTATTTACAAAGACTTTGTTTCCATTTTTTCATTTTTTCATATTAATTCCATTTCCTTCTTTCCTTTCCTGTACCCCTACCACGTCCCCTTCCCCTTAGCTCCTTTTCTTCCTGTTTCACATTATCTATTATACCTTTTAGTCCTTATTTACACTTTCAGTTTCTCACACCAGAGAAACTACTCAGTATTTACATGTGTGTGGTGTTTATTTCACTTAAGAGTATGGCCTCAATGTGCATGCATTTAGCTACAAATGTCTCTAAATTTTCATTTTGTGTGGCTGAGTATTATTAAAAAACCACATTTTCTTTATTTAGTCTCCAGTTGATGGGCAATTGGGCTGCTTCCAAGTATTAGCTATTATAAATTGTGCTGCTATGAACTTGGGTACACATACATCACTGTGGTATGATTCTTTTAATTCTTTGGGGAAGATGCCCAGCAGGGGAATAGCTGGATCAAAGGGGACTTCCAATCCTAGTTCTTTGAGGTATCTCCATACTGATTTCCACAGTGGTTGCACCAGTCTACACTCCCACCAGCAGTGGAGTAGGGTTCCTCTTTCCCCACAGCCCCGCCAGCATTTGTTATTGGTTGATTTCACAATAGCAGCCATTCTTTCTGGAGTGAAGTGGAATCTCAGCGTTGTTTTCATTTGCATCTCTCGAATGACCAGTGATATTGAACAGTTTTTCATGTATTTACTAATATGATTTTTTAAAGTAACAAACTGAAGTTTTTTTGTATTAATAAAATGAATTTATGGTAGCTATTTCAGTGTGGTACAGTGCAAAGTTGACAACAGTTTCTAAGGAACACTCTGGAGGATCTATCACTTTATCTTAATGTTTTTTTACTGTGGACAAATTATAAGAAAATCATAGTTTATTTCCTAAAAGATTTTTAAAAATATGTTTGAAATTGTTCAAAGGAAAGTGATAACAATTTTATTTACTCTCCCATGTTAAGTGTGTTATGTTATTTGTTAAAACTATAAAATAGTAAATTATGGAACTTGAAATCAAGTGTACCAAAAAAATTACATTTTTTGATATAGTTACATTAATGAATTTAGTGCATGCTGACTCTTTCCTTTGATCTTAGACAACAGTACTTCAAATTAATTGACGAGTGTGTATCCCAGATTGTGTTGCATAGAGATGGAATGGATCCCGACTTTACATATCGAAAAAGACTAGATTTAGATTTAAGTAAATTTGTAGGTGAGTATTTTTCTATTATTTAAATAGAAATATCTTATTTCATGACCTAGTTCTCGGGTATTGCTTCTCAAAGTGTAGCCTATGCAATTTTTGAGAGTCCTTAGGACTCTCAGGTGATACTAATAGTCAAAACTATTTTCATATACTACTAAGGCATTATATGCCTTTTTATTTGTGTTAATATCTTGCACTGGTGTTATAAAACAATGGTGGGTAAACTGTTGGCACCTTGCTATGAATCAGGTTAGAGGCACTAACTCTAATAATAGACTTTATGTTCTTTGCACTCAGTAGAAGAAAACAATAATAAAAGAGGTGGGGATATACCTCAGTGGCCTAGTGTTTGCTTAGCAGCCCTAGGTTCAATGTTCAATTCCTAGTACTGCAAAAGCAAACAAACCATCCCCCTCCCCAAACAAGCAAATAGAACACCTGTTGATTTTTTTTTTTTTTT